AAAAAAAAAAAAAAAAAAAATTCTTTTTGTTAAGGTCTTCAATCTGTAGATACTGCGACTGAATTCAAATAATGAAAACTACGGGAAAGATAAAAAAAAAAAAAAATTATGAATTTCATTAGTTATTTTAATCGAACAGTCTAGAATTTAATTATTTCAACCGTATTAAATGATCTTCAAATTGATATATGGTCCGTATAAGTTGTTTTTGTTAAATTTTCCTTACGAATAAAATTATAATATGATTTTGATCGTTATAAATTATTACGAAGACACTTTCTTTAGTACAGTTTAAGCCCATTTTGTCTCACTTTAAAACAAAATTATTTAATTTTCATACTTATTTTCAATCACAAAATTTCATAATAAAATATTTTGCAGATAAATCCAAAAACTTTTCCTTACTATTTTATGACATTTTGTCCAACGGTCCTAACCTGCTGCCCTCAGTAGGCATGATAAAAACTTTCACGCTAGCGTGGTAAGAGAACCTTAGTTATTGTTCTCTTGCCACGTCAGCGGTGGAAAATTTTTATCTTGGGAGAAAAATAGATCAATTTTATTTTGTCCAGTAGTTCATTATGTGCGTGGATGTATTTAGTGCACTAAAATCTGGGTTGATTCTGTCAGAACTTACACTGAGGTTATCATTCATGTTTGAGCCCAAATCGAGACATTTTAATCATGTTACTGGCCGAGGCCTCCAATCATGTTCATAGTCATGTATGGAATCTACACACTCTGTTGCTTAAAGTAACCTGTGTAGTCAATGCATCTTTCGCTCGCTATGCCTCGATGATCAAGGCATAAATGTTCATAGACATGTGGACCATAATTATTTAGCACATAAAACATTATAAATGTATGTTTGAAATTTATAAAACCATTTCTGGTTTTAGGGTTTGAAAGCTAAAGAAATAGACAATAAAAAACATTGATAGTCTTAAAAGGAAATGGCTTTTGCATAAGTTACAAAATGGGTAAAAAAAAAAATACTGTTAGTCAACTTAAAACGAAGTTTCATTTTAATCATTGAACTTTATTTTGTTACGAAAGTGGTTACCCAAGTTCGTATTTCATTTCAGTTTGGTCATTCAATTAAAGTCTGTTAGTTTTTCCACTGCAATGTGTGATGCCGAAGACCACCATATCAGATTATCGTCTTCCACACCCAACATTCCGTTATAAAAACTAATAAATTTTAACTGAGTGACTAAACTCGAAGAAAAGCCAACTAAAGGATCCACTTGAAACAAAATAAGTTCAGTAAACTTTGTTATAAGTTGAGTAACTAACACTGTTTGTAACCTGTTACAAATGACACCGAAACCATAAGAACGATTTTAGTTAACGGCATGTTTAGAAAAACCTAAGTGAGAGATGCCTTACTTCGGATGCTGAAATGAAGAGGAATCACTCTTCGATGGAGAAGGGAGAGCCTCTGATATACTATCCCATGAAACTTTTTCATCTTTCTTTCCCTTTCGCTCCAAGAAGGTAGGTCGACTAGGTGTCTGTGCAATTTCAACCTTGCATGTCAGCATTGCTACAATCTCAGACATTGGTGGTCTTGAAGTTGCAAGAGGTTGAAGACATAAGAATGCCACATGAATCACGTGCAAAACATCCTTTTCGACCATCCCAGTTTCTGGCATTCTTGGATCTATTAGATCATTCAATTGAGACTGCTCGTACAACTTCCAGGCCTTACGACGCATTTATCACGAAAAGAAAATAAGTAAATTGAATATCTCATCATTATAAGAAAGCAAATAAAAAAGCAGAAAAAGCCTACATATTCAGGAAGATATTGCATTTCTGATGGCAAAGTAAGATCAGTATTTTTCCTGCAGCTAATAATTTCAAGCATGAGAACTCCAAAACTGTATATGTCAGCCTTTTCAGACAATTCTCCTCGAATGGCATACTCGGGTGCCGTGTATCCTCTGCATAAACGTAATATACAAAGTCATGCAACGGAATTATCTTAATTAAAATGTCGATGGATTCTTGTTAAAAATTCAAACTTGTAAGGGAGTATAAGCCGGTATAGCTCCAGCCTCCAAGATGACTAAGTTAATTAAAGAATGACGAATCATGAAATAATTGTGTAACTAATATTTTTCGGATTCTTTAAATCTTATTAACTACGAAAATTTTGGCAAAATAATTAAAAATCAACTTGTACAACACTTTGCTAATGCTTCAAGAATTCTACTTCCATTGAAGTGCCAACACGATTGGCATCCTTAGCATAATGAACAATGTCTTACGTACACAATTTAAATACTTACAAAGTTCCAGCAAAATTGGTGCTCAAATAAGTTTGATCTTCGGGAAAAAACCTTGCTAGGCCAAAATCTCCAATCCTAGGTTGAAATTTTTCGTCCAGGAGGATGTTGCTTGCTTTGATATCCCTGTGTATAATTCTCACATGTGAATCTTCGTGCAGGTACTGCAAGCCTCGAGCAATTCCAAGAATTATTTGGAAGCGAGCGCTCCAGTTCAAAAACACGTCAGTTTTCCCTATATCAAGAAATAACCAAAGCAGAAAGCCATTAAGGAAATAACCCTCTGGCAAAATCTGCTTTCATTTAGTTATAGAATGAATGGTGTGTCGCAAATTATAAGCACAAGATGGACATGTATCACATAATTTGGATCTACGAAGAGAGACATAGAAGTTATACCATATATTATAAGGTCTAAACTCCTATTCTTCATGTATTCATACACAAGTAGCCGCTGATCTCCATCCGAGCAACACCCCAGAAGGCGAACCAGGTTCTTGTGTTGCACACAGGTGATCATCCTCACCTCTGAGAGGAATTCTGAGTCTCCTTGCTGTGATTTGTCAACGGACAGTTTCTTTACAGCAATCAATCTCCCGTCCTCTAACTTGCCCTATGAAAAGAAGAAAAAGTCAATGCAATGTTATTGTCTCTTGAATTCATAAGGTATACACCAAAAGAAGCCTCCTAGATAATAAATGAAACCAATTTTATAATATCATACACAATAAGATCAGGGCTCCATAATGGACTCGCCATGGATTCAATGAAATTCTTGAAAAAATAATAATATAATGAAAATGCAAAACAGATTTATATTATCATTACCAAGAAGACTGGCCCAAATCCACCTCGTCCAAGTAGATAATCCTGGTGGAAATTCTTGGTTGACCTCTTCAGTGCTTGAAATTCGAACCAGCTTATTGTGTGAAGATTTCCGCTTAAGATATCCTTTGTTACTGCAAGAAATTAAAAGATTAGATCATAACGAAGTGATTCCGCATTATAATTCTTTACAATATCATATCTACAACCTGCTTTCTTCCTTGTGCAAGCGACAAACTTTTCCCATTTTGATGGATTGATGAATTTCCGGAAGACAAATAACAGAATTAGCAAAATGAGAAGTATAACTATGGCTCCAATGAAAAAGTATAAGGCTTCTGAAGGTTGACTAGATCTCGAGCTCTGTACATCAAGTGAGGCTGATGGAGAGGACACTACATTAATATGTCTTGTTAAACTACATTAACAGCAAGATGAAACAAAGCTACTGCGACATACAGGTGTATATATGTAAAGATGCCAACTCAAGAATGAAAAATATATCCTAATTTTGCAGTACTCATGCACGTTAACTTCGCATGCACGGGATCAAATAATGTTAACCCTTTTCAGCCTGGCAGAGCCCTCCGACCACAAAATGCACATACACACTAAAAACGTCAGGGCATTTATCTTTCCTATGGCACTACTTGTATGGTGATTTTATCTGATTTACGTATGCAGAACCTCAAAAGTTGAGTAGTTGTTTATTAAGCTCACTCTAGTTGCTTATTCCCTCGTCATCATCGTCCTTCAGCTATACATGAGACAAGAGAAGCTCCAAATTAAACTCTGTGTCTAGTACTGTATGCTACAAACTTTGAGCTTACCAAGCATACTAACTTAGGCCTACTCTCTTAATTTTATGATTACATAACCTACACAATCCCTGTAGTCACATGAACTACTGGCAATGTGCTCTTGTCAACTTGTTATGAAATTTTTTTAATCATGATGCACTTTCTATCAAAAGTGAAGTATTGAAGTGGTGTCAGACTGTCAGGCATTGTGTCGCTTGTAAGTCATAATTCAAATTCGGCAATTTGAGGTTACCTGTCCTTTCCTCCAAAAGTGAAAGTTGGGAGGCTAAACTAACAACACCATATGGTGGCCAAAATGCGCCCCCCCCCCCCCCCCCCCCCCCCCCCCCCCCCCCCCCCCCCCCCCCCCCCCCCCCCCCCCCCCCCCCCCCCCCCCCCCCCCCCCCCCCCCCCCCC